AAACAAAACAAAAATCTAATAATTATATAACAAATTTTATTTTCCCCACTGACTTTTATTACAATATACTCGGGCTAAAGAACATACTAAAAAAAGCATGGCTTATCTTTATCTCAAAATCTTTTCTGCAATTTCCCTGTAATCTAAAAACATCAAGTCAGTAAAATAGGCCAAATCTATAATTTCAACGCAGTTGTAACTTTTAACAATCCTATCTAGTATTTTGTTATAGAAAAACAATAAACAAAGAATTTTAGAGTTAGAGGACCCCAGGAAGAACATCAGGCTCACTCTCCCTCAAGAATCTGTTATAGAAAAATATAAGATACATTACAAATTCTCTTGATCTCATGTGAATCTTCTTGAGCCATCCCCTTCCACAATCATCAACATCGTATACACTTGGTCTGTCTCATCAAATCTCACATTTATAAAGTGACTACTACTGAAGAGTGACTGGAGAGAATTCAATAACTCTTCATAAACATAGGTTTCATGGGTCAGGTCACCTGACATTATGTAAACTAAAATATTTATCAAGTACTTGGGGCTCTGAGGTAGAACAGGAATAGTCAATTTCGATTTTAGAAGCTCAGTAGATTAAGCTGAACAGTGAAAGACCTAAGCATTATCCAGAAACCTATAGGGTGTTACTGCTTCCTTCAGGTACTGACAACATAATGTACTTACTATCAGGACCACCCATGGTTACACCCCCAAAGTGGTGAAATAAATTATGTTTATTTTACCTTATCTCTTTGAGTTATCTCAGTTTCATTAGCCAAACAGAGGTAACTATGCAGATTTGTAAGGAATAAATCTATATTGACCCAACTCACCAAGCTTTAGACAAACTATATACTGAATTTTCTAGGGAGGTTAGTGGTTCAGGTACAAGCCAATCTATAACAAGAAAAGCTTGATTTATTAAACATTTTTCAAGAAATACAACTGTATAACTTTCAGAACATAGAGTAACAAGAATCAGGCTAAGAGGGAACCAAACAGTTATCAATAATTCTCCATTAAACTCACAAATCTGGTACACAAAAACATTCTGTTCCCTTAAATACAACTTAAAATTTTTTTTTTTTTTTTTTTTT